AATCCAACTGCCTATAAGTTTACCAAGGGATGGCAAGAAGAAGTCGACATTACTTGGGCATGCCTAGACAAAGCCTCCCGTAAAATGAAGAAGTGGGCTGACAAAAAGCGGTGCCCCATTGAGGTCCAAGTTGGTGACTTGGTCATGGTCAAGTTATTGCCGAATCAATTCAAGTCACTACGCAAGGTCCACAAAGGCTTGATCAGGAGATATGAAGGCCCTTTCCCTATCGTCAAACGTGTGGAAAAGGTTGCGTACCAGGTACAACTCCCTCCTAAGCTTAAGATTCATCCTGTCGTCCATGTTAGTCTCTTGAAGAAATACTGCAGAGATGAAGAAGATCCATCTTGAGGTATCTCTAAGAGAGCACCAATAGCGATCATCACCGGGTACGACAAGGAGATAGAAGAAATCCTTGCCGACAGGGTGATCAGAAAAAGAGGTGTTCCCAACTACACTGAGTACTTAATCAAGTGGAAGGGTCAACCAAACTCTAAAGCTAGCTGGGAACGTGAAGACCTCCTGTGGCAATTTACCGACCAAATCCAACATTACAAGGAGGAAGGGGCGACGAGGGCGTCGTGAAATTAAGTAAGGGAGAATGTCACGATTCAACATTTTTCATGAGGTTAAGGAGCTCTGGTACATTCTATAACCCTCCAGAAGGCTCCCGAACAAGCTTAAGAGTGCTAGAGAGTGCAAGAACATTCTAGAGAAGTCTACACAACTCTAGCCTCAATATTTTAATATTTGCTGCTAGATCTTTCCATGTGAATATCTAGATATTTGTTGTAAATATCTAGGAGAGGATTCTAGAGAATCATTTGTAACCGTAGGATTAATTCAATCTCCACCGTCCATTAAGGAGGTGGGAAATATCTAGAACCAAGGGGGAGGCCTATAAATACCTCACCCCTCCTCATTTGTAACACACAACCCCTGAGTTCTCAAAGCAATACTACTCTCACATTCTCCAAGCTCTCTTCCAAGTATATTTTGCCCTCAAGCTTTCCCTTTCCTCAATTTAGCCAAGCATCCTCCTTTCATACAAGTCAGGCTTACTTAGCAACTTCCAGTGAAGATTGTCTAAGTGCCGCATGGGTCGAAAGACTAGCCCCGTGACACTAAGCTCACTTCTTCGATGCCTTCCCTATAGCTCCACTTGAATGTTCACCTCAAAATGATAAGAAGTAACATGTGAGATTAAAAATCTCAGTAACAGTTGGTTATTCTAACATATACCAACATACTTCTTGAAATCAGTTCACAACCATATCTATAAATATACATGTGCATTTCACAATCAATACATAAAACAAGAAATACAATATTCATAATTTTATAACAATTTTAAATCAATGTCAAATTAAAACAATAGTGATACATTTCCCAACCCCACCCTTATGGCTCCCAACTCCCTTATTATCGCTAGCTGGAGCCTAAACTGAGGTTATACCCGACTAAAGGTACATTGCCATCAGAATAGGACTCCCCTCCTTAAAAAGAAGGTGCCCATTATCCCAAAATGTCAGAGACATTGGGAACTACAAGAAAAAGGCCAACACTACATGTGTAGTGGAGGCAAACCATACGGCATAATATTTAATCATTGATCCCAAACAAACAATCATATTACTAGCCATCCTTATTACCTCTTTTGCAACACATAAAACAAATGTCACATTCCATAATAAGATCACACAAATATTAACACACACACACACACACAGTACTAAAAACCAGTATCTCAATAGATGAAAGGATATTCCAATGTTACCTCTTCTCCAAGTTATAACTAACTCAGATGTATAGGGAACTTCTTAACCACGATAATAAATTAATCTACGACATCGAATGATGTAAATACCATTAGATATATATATATATATATATGTATATATTGTAATTTATCAATTGAATATAAAATTTAACTAAACTTTTTAAATTTACAATCATATCCTTCCAATCTAAATCCCTCCAGTAAATACTCAAAATTTACTTATCTAAATCCTAAAAATATAATTTAATCCATATAGATATCCTATACATTAGAGATCACAAATTTTATAGCTAAAAACTTAATTTTAAACTCTCAAATCAGTTTATAGAACAAATCTAAATCGATAGAATTTAAGTATTAATTTATCTCTACTAATTAATAGTTTCTGTTGTTAAAAGACAATACTTACCCTAAGTTTAAACTTTAGAATTTGCTCCACTCATCAAAATTTTACTATCATTAGAAAACTCTAGACGAGGAGGAAAATATTTATAAAAGGAGTTTTGATAATAGGAAAAGTTTTGAACATTAAATCTTATATCAAAATCTCTTCAAATCTCTTGTCTTCTCCTTTCCTTCTCCTTCTCTCTCTTTCTCTCTTTCTCTTGTGTACAAATGAGCAAGGGAAAGCAAATTTGACCATTATATATTCCCTTTTCCACCACCTCTCTTCTAATGTTATTATTATAACATATATATTTTTTTATTTTGTTCTCCTTATGCCACCGTCCATCCTACTCATTTATTACTATTATTATTATTATTATTATTATTATTATTATAACTTAATAATTAAGTTAACAAGCCTTAGCCACTTTTTTTTTAAAACAAAACACATCTTAATATAAAAGTATATTCTATATTAAACAAAAAAAAGATCTTCTAATTAATTTCTTTATCAAACATTCTTTCTATTTTTCATTAATTCTAATTAACTCAAAAAAATTAAAGTAGAGTGTTACAATAATCCCCACTTATAGGGGAGCTTTACGTGGAAGGACAAGGGGGAAGAGAATATAAAAAAGAGAAAAAGAGATTAGTAAAGAGAATATAGAGATAATAGAGAAACTCGCAGAAAAAGCAAGATAACTTCTGGCAATGAGTTGATAGATAGGAGGCGATGGAACCTATAGCAGTGTCTAGTAATGATCTTTGATAGATAAGAGGTGGGACACAACGATGATGGTGGTTTGAAGATTTTGATTTGTGGATGTGGGCAATCTAACTTCTGGCATCTGTATCTATTGAGTCGACGAACATCTATGACCTCTGAAAGGGATCAGTATAAATAAAGAATAAATAAAGAAAAATATATGAAAGAATAAATAAAGAAATAAGAAATTAGTTAGTTGAGGTTAATTATGTAGTTGCTGTAGAGAATAAAGGATTTTGGAACCTACATAAGGGACCTTAATTGTAATATGAGGCTACAGTTATGCTTGAATATGAAAAGTATTGTTTAGTCTCTATCCTCTTTTCTATCTCGTCTCTATCTCATCTTTCTCCTTATTTCTCCTCTGTTCTACTCTATTTCTTCTCTCTTCTATATCTTCTTCCATATTAGTGATATTTAAAGCCTATTTTTCCTCTTTTATATGCCCATCACTTGCTCCTAGACAACGTTAAAGAAGATGGTAGAACAAACTGAGGCAAGATTACATGCTGTCAAGACCTAGATTCAAGCACTCATAGCACAAATCGCTCAACTTGTTCTCACCTTTGATGAGTCTCGTAATAATCATGAGACAACCTTTAACAGAGTGGGAGGACACCATCGACTAAGACTAGAAAGGGAGTACCAACCTCCTACATGATTCACTAAGATGGAATTCCCAAGATTTTCAACAAACTAATGTTCTTGGCTGGATCCTCAAGTGTGAAAGGTATTTTGAGATTGATAAGATGCCAGATGCTTGGAAGATCACGATGGCTATTATACATCTTGATGAAAAAGCGTTTGAGTGACATCAAGCATTTGAGCATATGTGCGGAGGGGAAGTGACTTCTTGGGAGAGTAGGTGGAGGCCATTAAAGCAAGGTTCGAACTAGGGCTGCACAGAGGATGGACTGGACAGGACTTTGCCCTAACTCGAAATTTGGTCATTTTTCATGAAAAGGATTGAGTTAGACAACCTGTGGTCTGGTCTGATCTGATCTTGTTATAACCCGAAGTTGAACAAGACCAGATAGGTTTAGTAGGACTAGGAGACTGATTTCAATTTTGTATAATATCTCACTCTGTTTTTTTTTTCTTTTACTCTATGAGAGACAGCAATCTATTCTAACTTAATAAACTCAATTAAGATAATAAAATTACTTATAGTTATACAAAAATTATCACAACAATAAGTATAAATCTATAATAATCTCCAACAACAATAAAGAGTATTTTAGTTATAACATAAAAGATTCAAATTAAACAACTTTCACCAATATATCTAAAGTTTATTACATTAAGTTAACAATAAATTTTACTAATAAAAAGAGAACATTGTGGTTGGTCAATTTTGGAATCTCGCTCAATATCAATGACTTCGTAAGTATAAAACATAAAAAATTATTAATTATTATTATAAATTAACTTATTATTATAATAATTAAGAAGTTAATTATAAATAATAAATAAAATTATAGGACCGAATCAAGTGATCTAGATGCTCGATCTCTTGTCTAGTCAAACTCAAAAAAAGAGTCTAATTTTTTTAATCTTAAAAGTTCAGTTTTTATCTGGACTGAACTAAACTAAATTGTCTCAAGTTGGATTGGACTAACATATTTTTTGTACGATCTTTATGCCATGTGCGAGGCGCCAATGGCCGATCTCAAGCGTCTTCAGCAAACCGGGGTGTCTTGGAGAGTATAACGATGCGTTTGATCATATCACTTGTAAAATGGACCTAGCAGAGGTTTGCCTGGTCCAATCCTACGTTGAAGGCTAAGGGAGGAGTACGGTGGGCCTGTCCGTCTCTTAAATTTAGCCCACTGCAGTACAACATGCTATAAGCTTGACTTCCTTACAAGAAGTTCGTGTTCAGAAATCAGGCGAAGAGTTTTACTTGTTCGACGGAGGTAAAGCGGCAAAATCGACTTTGTTTGGTCTTCTCGGCTCTTCTCCTAGCGTTTCGCACTCATCGGCAAAGGGAAGGGAGGTGAAAACGGCAGCTGGAGGTAATGGGTCTCATTTTGTTAAGGGTATGACTGAACATCTACCTGAATCTCTCTCTTTTTCATCGGCAAAGGGGTCTGCTTCCTCCAAATCTTCGACGGCAGGGTTTTCTTCTTCAAACCCTGATTAGAAAATCTTAAAGAAATTAAACCAAGAGGAGGTTGATGATCTTCGGTCGAAGAACCTCTGTTTTTATTGCCATAAGCTTTCAGGGGTCATAGATGTTCGCCGACTCAACAGATGCAGATTCAGCTTATGGAGTTTCAAACTGACCCGGTAGAAGAAATTGCAGATACTGGGCAATCAGGAAAATTGCGATCAGGAATTGCGGAAACCATATGCTGAGTTTGCTGGTTCTACTTGTTTTTTTTTCCCCCGTTCTTTCCAGTTCGAAGGGTTCAGATTGTCGACCCTTGAAGTCAAGGGTTTTGGGGGAGCATTGATATGAAAAGAGTAAATAAAGAAATAAGGAATATTGGTTGGTTTGTTGAGGTTAGTTAGTTAGTTGAAGCAGAGAATAAAGGATTTGGGAACCTATGTAAGGGACCCTAATTGTAATCTGAGGCTACGCTTGCGATTGAATCTGAAAAGGATTTGCGATTGAACCTATCCTCTCTTCTATCTCGTCTCTGTCTCATCTTTATCCCTATTTCTACTCTGTTCTACTCTGTTTCTTCTCTCTTCTGTATCTTCTTCCATATCAAGCTTCCATACCACCATGCTGCAAGGGCGTTGGTCTGTCCCCTCCCCTTTGATAAACCAAGAAGACCCTTATTGTTCAAAAGTGTCATCCTCATTTGTTTGTGCTTGCAGGTTGTCATTGATGGAATCAAACACTTTAGTTGAAGAAAATGGAACTTCAGAGCCTAAAAATAGTGTAGAAGAGCCCACGAACAGTGTAGAAGAGGCTTCTGAGCTTTCTTCACCACCACAAAATGATATAGATGATGGGAAAGGTATTAGTTTATTAAGTGTTTGATGTAGGCCTTCTTTAGCTGTTGCCGTTATTCAGGATTGCGATTTATACATTTGAAAGAATTCCTCTAGTCTATATTATATACTAGTAATGAAGTGTTTGAAGTCTATATTATAAGAGAGTACTCTTTTCGCTTGTTGATTCCATTTTCATTTCATACACTATTTTCTTTCCCTTGTAATCTTGCTAGATTTTCTACTCAACAATAAGATCAATCAATATATAATTTCTATTTACTGGGAATTGGCAAGGGAAACAATAAACACTAAAATAATTCAGATTAGAAATTTTGTCCTAAAACAGCTTAAGGAAGCAAGAATGATGGACCTTGAGAAGAAAATATGAATCCATTTGGAAGCTCAGTCAGCCGGTGTGACTGCTTCAATCACGTCCTAGACTAAGTCTTTGAACTAAAATAAATCCTAATGACACCAAATCTCAATTAGCCGTTGTCCATTCAGCCCCAAAAGTTGATTGATAGAATTATATGGCCCTAGTACTTCACAAAGCAATAAATTCTGGGGTCCAACTGTGATAAAATCCATACCTTTGAATCGATTGAGATCTTCAAAGGAGAAACCATCCTTCTGATTGTGCAATAAAAGATAGTGCTTCTAGCATGAAATTTGTCCTCTTTGAGCCTGTTTGGGGCCTCGCAGCTGACAGAGTGAACTGTTGGATGCTAGGGTTGCAAGTAAGGAACAAAACACTGTTTTAGTTATTTGCCATCCCTTTTAGTTAAAAGTTATTGTGACAGTCACAAAAGTGACATTGACGAGGTGCTTATTCTCGTTAGCAATAAACCATGCAAATCTGTTGAAACTATTAGTACTTCCTCATGGGAAGAGATTGGGAAAGATACTGTTAATTTTTTAAAGTCAGGGATTAGATATAAGAAGTTATATTTTCGATATATATGTTGAAACTATTATTACTTCCTTATGGGAAGAGATTGGGATATATACTATTCATTATTTGAAGTCAGGGATTAAATATAAGAAATTCTAGTTTGGATATACATATGTGTGTATGTGTGTAATTTTTTTTATCTTTTGTATTGTAATTTCTATAAACAGAATTGTTTTCAAAAGTGGGAACTACAACAGCTATTAATGATTCTTTTTCTCTCACCGGGCTCTCTCTATTAATGGTGTGTAATTTTATCTTAAAAATACATTTGTCATTATATTGCCCAGCAGCCTTTTCCATGTAGGATATGCTTGATGTATTTGTCAAACCTTGGTTCATTTAAGAACTTTGATTTTTCCATTGTTTAGTTTCAAAGGTTTTACTAGATTAAGGAAGGCAAATTATATGGAAATTTTTAAGTAGCTATCGCATGATGCATTTGGCTGGAGGAAAATGCTTAGATCATAGAAACAAGTGTTGATCCTGGTATATCAAGGGATGGGATTCTCATGACATTTGTTTTGTTTTTTTAGCACATGATTTGTTTTGGTTTTAATATGTTTCTCGTCTTTTTTGTCATCATTTCTTCTTGCTTCCTTTATGTAAGGAGGTCTTATTATTATTATTATTATTATTATTATTATTAAATATTTTGTCTGTACTTCCCCCCAATCTATTAATGTTACTTCTTGCATTAGATATTTAGTGATGTTCTTTATTTATTATATATTGCTAACATATGGAATTGTCTTGTTTGAACACCTTTTCTCTTTCAACAGAAGTTTCAAAGAAGAAAAAGAAGAAAAATAAAAGCAAGTGAGGAAAATTTCTGGTGCTAATGATTTTTCTGCAAGTTGTGTAATTTTGAAGTAGTTCTCATTTTACCTCTTTGCATGATAAGGAAAAAGAAAGAACTGCTTGAGCAGACTGATCCACCATCAATTCCTGTTCTTGACCTTTTCCCATCTGGAGATTTCCCTGAAGGAGAAATTCAGCAGTACAAAGATGAGTAAGTATATAATGGAAAAATTTTAAGCATAATTTTTCTATTGCAAATTTGGTTTGGGATTGAATTCAAGTAACCTGAATGTGCATTCTCCTCCTTTTTTGGCATGGACGCGAGTGATTTTTCTCAGTTGCATACTTTTGGGGTATTGAATATTTTTACTTGGACTGAGTTGACTGACACTTGACCTTTTCCCTCCACTCTTTTTTTAGTTGTTTTCTTATTCAATATTTATACTTGATGTAAAACCATGCTTGCAGCAAGGGAGAAAGTGGTTGTGTAACTCGTTTAGAAATCCGTTATGCTTGGAAATTTATTTCAAAAGGATATATATTTTTGATGCTGCTGGTTTCTTTGAAATTGGGTGATGTCTTAAAAAAATATATTTTGTGAAGATAGGTGAGAAATCCTTTTTCAACGGCGTATTGTTTTCTTTTTGGCTTTCTGGTTTGCATAATTCTCCTATTCCTGATTTCTCTGTCTTGATTAATTCTGATTGTACTTGTCCATTTCTTAATTCTTATTCTGTTTGGGACATAATAAAGATGGAAAAGCTTTGTGGGAACAGGCAGTTTTTGCTGTGATTTGGTTCATTTTGTTGGAAAAGAATGCTAAAAGTTTAAAGTTGCCTTAGCCACTCTAAATGACTTATGGAGACGAGTAACATTCCTTGTTTCCCTTTATTGTTTGTTCAATAGTTATTTACAGTCTCTTTGACTACATGATTAGGGATTTTGCATCATTATTTTTCCCCTATTTTGTGTTATTTGTGTACTTCCCCCGTTCATTTCCCCCCCTTCCATGTGGTTGTCTTATCTTCCATTCTTGTGCCTGTCTAATAAAATTATTTCCTATAAAAGAATTACTTGCCAACTTTGTCTTCAGTATCCTACTATTGTTTTAATTGTTCAACTTATATAAACTCTTCATCGGTCAATGTTGGTTTTAATTTCTGCTTCTGCATTCACCTGTACTTTGCTTCTATGCCCTTTTTGTCAATTTCATAATTTGGAAGTACTTTCATGATTTTACATTTGAACCTTTATTTTTTTTGGGGTTTTTTTTGGGGTCATATAGGGCCCTTTATATATACATAAATCTATTTAGGGCCTCTTTGTTTAAACTGGAAAAAATTATTTGTAGACTGTTGAAAAAGTAATTTATTGTTTAGAGATTTTATGAAAAGTAGAATTGTTTTGCATTTTTTATAATAAAAACACGTTTTACTTCAAATCAAAGTGCTTCTTAAAATAATAAGAAGCTATTTAGAATAGCTTCTCCAAATAATCATAAATCTAAATTTTCCCCCTATTCTGATTATTTTTAATTAATAGCTTGAACAAGTATTCTGAAATTTGTCATAACGGCTTTTTTTTTTTTTTTTTTTGTAAATAAGTATTTTATTAAAGAAGCTGAAACAGCAGGCCCTTGAAATGTGTGTGTGTGTGGGTGTATATTGGAATATAACATTCAGACACTAACTTCTGCTTCTCAATAGAGCTCCACAGATGAAAATTATATAAGAGAAGGTACTTTATTTTAAAACTTATACGAAGAAGCTTTCTGGCTTCACTAATTTTTGTTTTCAAACCTCGCATAACTAAATCCTTGACATTAATTGCAATTCAAGTTCAGTTGGTGTCTTGTACACTAGTAGCTCATTGACTCTTATGGTTTTTCATTTTTTCAAAGTGGCGACTTTCAAAATTCTTATTTTACTTATGGTGGAATGCAAAAATATATTGAAGCAGATGACAACTAGTCTACCATTCAACTTCAGAAAGTCAACCTCTATAATGATACAGTAAAGGCAGTGAAGTTCTCGGTTCTAAGGAAAGGAAAAAAGACAGTTGACATACTGAATAACATGATGACTGATGAGACAACAATTATAACACATACAATACATAATAAATGCTCAGGATTTTCTATAGCATTTTACTTATTAGTAGGTTTCATACAAGTGTATACAGACGCACACATTCATTGTAATTTCCTTTAGAAGTAGTATCTTCTGTATTTTTATTTCTTATTTCATATTATACTGAAGTCTGTTTATGATCATTATGCTTCAAGCATTGCTCTTTAAATGACCAAATACGATTACTGAGTTGTCATCCATATGCCAGTAACCTCTGGAGAACTTCATCTGAGGAGAAGAGAGAGTTGGAGCGCCTTCAGAAGCCGATATATAATTCAGTTCGTCGGGCGGCGGAAGTTCATCGTCAGGTTGTGATTTGCCTCAATTGGTTCCAAGATTAACTTCGTTTAAATGGGCTATCTTTGGGGAATGGAAATAAGGGAGAAGCTAATTGAAGATTGTTACTTGGAGTAGTGTAAGTAGGGAGGGGAAAATGAGAATGAAAGCTGAGATATGATAGAATTAGGTCAAAATATATTCTAATTAATGGGAATCTGCCGGGGTGTAAGTTAAGTAGATGAAAATACAAGATAGAAAATGGAAAACAGCAAAGGAAAATGGAACTCTCCTAATGGTTGGAGGAGCTACAACAACAACAACAACAACAAGCCTTTATCCCACTAGGTGGGGTCGGCTACATGGATTGCAAGACGCCATTGTGCTCTATCATTTATTAAGCTTTTAGAAATATTATTAATTAAGAGATCACGTTCAACAACTTCCAAGAGTGTTCTCTTAGGCCTTCCTCTACCTCTCTTAATCGGACTCAAAGTTATATGTTCCACTCTTCTCACTGGTGCCTCCCTTGGTCTTCTTTGTACATGCCCAAACCATCTCAACCGATTTTCTACCATTTTTTCCTCAATAGGTGCCACCCTCACTTTTTCACGTATGTGCTCATTTCGAATTTTATCTTTACGTGTATGTCCGCACATCCATCGTAACATTCTCATCTCTGCTACTCCAACTTTATGCTCTTGCTGTCCCGTTAGAGCCCAGCATTCACTACTATATAACATTGCCGGTCTGATAGCAGTACGATAAAACTTTCCTTTAATGGTTGGAGGAGCTAGACTCCCAAAAAAAATCACAAAACATCCTACCATTACCCTTGGTCCTGCTGATCCCTATATTGCTTTCATTCTTTCCATCTCTTTTATTTAACAGTCTAAGATAGCTAATTTAATTGACCTCTTTCGATCAATCTTTATCCCCTAAGCTCCCTTGGCCCATTTCTCTCATTCTCCGCCTCATTTCTTTTCCTCCTTCTAGAATAGTTCATTAAAGGCCCATCTTTAATTTCGTTCCCCTATCTTGTGTAGGTGGGCAAGGGCAGCCCATCTTTAATTTTGTTCCCCTATTCTTATTGAGAAAATCTAATATTAAACCTTCTAAGTATTAAACCTTCTACTTTTATTTTAAGTTGAGGATACCATGAAGGGAAGTTGGATAAAAAATCATGTTACCTTTTTTATCTTAATGAGATATTCTTTTTATAAGTGTTAAAATAGAACAAGGATATGTTATTATTGGTGCAATGTGATGTTTCCTTTTCCCTTATGATTTATACTGTGTGTGTGTGAGTGTGTTTTTGGTTTTGTTTTATTTTTTCCTCTTTTGTCTCTGTTAAAAATTATGAAAAAATATCTTATTATCCACCTTTTTTTCCTATTCTTCTTTTCATTTGATTTTAAAGTGTGGTTAAGAAAATACATTTGTTCTTCAACGATAACATGGCTTGAGGGTGTAATTAGCTAGCAATATATGTATAGCAATATATATATATATATCTATACACACACACACTTGAAGGGGCATTCTTTACATATAAATCAGGTTCGCAAATATATGAGAAGCATTTTGAAGCCTGGAATGTTGATGACTGACTTATGTGAAACATTGGAGAACACCGTTCGTAAGCTAATCTCGGAGGATGGTCTGCAAGCAGGCATTGCATTCCCCACAGGATGCTCTTTGAATTGGTTATCCTTTAAAGCTTGATTTTGTTTTTCCTCTCCTCGTTTGTGGTTTCTGCCTAGAATTAGTATGTTATTAGAAATTCTTTCTCCTGCAGGGTTGCTGCTCACTGGACCCCAAACACAGGAGATAAGACTGTGCTTCAATATGATGATGTAATGAAGTTGGATTTTGGAACTCATGTAGATGGTAATATCCTAAGAGTCTTAATTTATTATGATGCTTGTATTGTTGGAACTATTTTGGGTAATTGGTTACTGGTTTAGTACTCTACCCAAGCTCTTATTCTGATTTGTGTATGCAGGATACATAGTCGACTGTGCATTTACAGTGGCATTTAACCCTATGTTTGATCCACTGCTTGAAGCCTCTCGTGAAGCAACCAATACGGGCATTAAGGTATTGAAGCTTCTATATTTTAAAAAACTATTGAAGGTTGCTTTTGAGTTATGTTGAAAAAGGAGTGTTCAGACATGTTCTTGACACTACTATAACTCTTCAAGTCAAAATGTTTTATGCAAACTGTACATTTTCAATGGGTGATAAAAATTAACTTTACCCATCTGAATTGTTTTTACTGTCAGGTCAAGTTTGGATGACATGGGTTATGATGTTAAATCTTCCAGTTCACATTCCATGTATCTCATTTTTCAACTTCCAGTGAATTCAAGTTATTCCCAAACAACATCTATGGATATCCCTCTATCAAAGCCAATATCAATCTATGGATACCTAAGTGGGATGGGAAACTTTACCCTAAAAGCTAGGTGGGGAGGTGGGAGAACCAACCCATTAAAATATTCCATTGAGCTTCCCACACTACTCAATGTAGATCTTAATATCCCACACTACCAAGTCTATATTAATTAGGCTCCATTGGAAAGTCGATGTCCTAGCAGTTTCATTCCATGACACTTAATTTAGCCTCTTGTTGGTTAAAACCCTGCATTGGTAGCTTTTTTTTAGAATCGCCAACAATTGCCTTTGATACCAATTGTTGGGTATTTAATTGGGATGAGAAATCTTATCCCAAAAGCTAATTGTTGGGGTGCGAGAATCAACCCACTTAAATAACTCGTTGAGTATTCTGAACTGCATGATGTGAGACTTAATATTCCATACTACTGAGTGTCCATCACAATCATATAATTCACATTATTGGAAGATAATGTAATTTTTGTCTTGGTGATATTGTTACAATATTTTGGTTTCAAATTGGAAAATATCAACACTAAACTTCACTCTACACCAACATCAACGATATGTCTTATCCTACTAGGTAGGGTCAGTTATGTGGATTACATGACATTATTGTGCTCTATTGGCAACTAACTCTTCTGATATATCATTCACCAATAAATCTTATTTAATAACGTTCTTGAGTGTCCATAGTCTTCCTCTATAGGGCTAAAAGACTAAATGTTCAATCCAAAATTGTACTTAACACCAATGTTGCAAAATCAAACATGTTCAATCCAAAATTGTACTTAACACCAACGTTGCAAAATCAAACATGTATCCATTGTTTGGTTTTGTGATAGTTATTTGAAGCTCTCTGGATGAGGTTTTAATTGCAAGGATTTTGGTGCAAGTTGGAGGGGTTTTCTTCTGAGGTGTCTACTAACAATCATGTTAATGAATGGTAACATAATAATGCATTCTGCTTTACTCATGCATTGATATATTGGTTGATTTAATAATAAAATAACCAACAACAAATTTTTTTCCCGAATTGTGTTTTCATGTAATTGTTTGGTATGTATCACTTAAGCCATATTGTAGTGTGTTAGTTCCACTAAAATGTTATGGCTAATGGTACAGGAAGCAGGAATTGATGTGCGTCTTTGTGACGTTGGTGCTGCAATCCAAGAGGTCATGGAGTCATATGAAGTTGAGATTAATGGGAAGGTGTATCAAGGTCAGATGCTTGTGTGGATTTTGGCTTAATTCTTGGTTTTCTAGCATTTTCTTTTGCATGAAATGTATTTTGGTCCTTATTTTTATCCATGTTACATTCAATGTTACTTGAATGAACTCGATGCTTAGCTTTCCTATATCATTATCATCACATATCATGTAAAACTGCAACGATAGACACTTGTTGAGGGCTCATGCTTATTCTGACTCCAAACGTTGTAGGCACAAGCATAAGAAATCACATATCGGATTTCTATTTTACATGTTCTTCACCCGCTTCTAATCTGATGTCATCTTACTATTTGGTGTATCTTTGTTGGTTAGAGTAGGAAGAAGCCTGCATAGAATTTGTTGTGTTGGAGTTGGTGATAGAAAAAGGTACAGAACTTGCAGAGTTATTTTGATACATGCTATAATTTGTGAAACATCGCTGTATTTATTCACTGAAACAGAGTACATGTATAAAGACGTGAGAGTAATAATAATCTGATCGTATCAGCCTAATTAGCCTAAACCAGAGAAATCCCATATATCTAGGGACATAATATAATTAGGAAATATTCTACAAATCAGATTATAATAGGAAATTAGGTCAAACTCTCTAATGGGCCCAAGTGACATCAAGCCCACTTCTAACAATACATGTAAAAGATAATGCGGCTGAATTTCAGATGAAACAGAATGTAAGAGTTTACATTTTTTTATTGTGGCGCACAGAGCACATGGGATCTGCTGCTGAGAATTACTCTGGACAACACAGCACGGAAGTACTTGTTTTGATTTTGAGTGGGAAATCTCCTTGAGCAAAAACACAAACATACAAGCTCGTAAAACGACCAATGTGATGCATTTAGGCACATAACTAAACAAAAAGACAAGTGATAGCTTTTAGAGATGAGATGTCAGCTCTCTCCCAGCTTCCTGTCTAGAATGTTCTCTGCCTCTGTCAGTTTTCCCTTTAAATACCCCTTTTAATTGTTCCCGTGCTGTCTCTTCTACTTCATCATAAGTCTTTGCTGCTTTGCTTTTCTGTCGTTTAGTTACATTCCTTGTGCCTTCTATTGGACTAACAGACTCATCTTTCACTCCCTTTTCTTTACCCTTTTTTTCTACTATATGTTTTGGCTGGTGTTAAATGATCTTTTCCACGAACAATTTTTCTTGATAATATACATGAACCCCATTTTGTTTGCTGTCGGAATTTTCTTTTAATTTGGGTCCTCATAGGTCAAATCTTTATGAACATAGCCCCTTCATTGATAATATGTTTAAAATTTAAGGGGAGAGTGATATTTGCCTGGTCAGGTAACGTCCTCCAAGCCAGAAGGTTTTTCATTTCTTTCCATCTTGGCAATGTTGAATGAATCATCACATCTGCATTATACTCTGAAGTAACTGAAGTCACATACTGAGACCTAAATCCATGATGGCACAATTCTAAAACTTCAGACTTTGTAATATTGAAAAAGAGGATGAAACATACAAATTCAATACCTTGGCAGCTGACCCCTACAGAAAACACAATTGATTTGGATATTGACTAAAGCTCCTAGCCTCCTCTCCTGCTTTGGCCTAAACAGGATTTTAAGAGAGGCTTCTCTTTCTTGAGCTGTTCGCTTTTTTTGGCCATCAATCCAGAATGTTTGTGGGGTTTTTTTCTTATAGGGTCGAGGTTAAGATGAAGGATGAAGAGAGTTTTTGGAAATTGATTATTGTAGGGAGATTGGATAGGGCTGTTGCTGTAACTTTTGAACTTTAGTGAGTTATGGAAAATTATTGATGGGCTTTCATCAAACAACTTAATCTCTTAGTTTAATGGCAGTGATAAATCCAAATTGGGGCCTTTTTCACCAAGATTCCTTAGAAGGTATAGTCCACTGGACTTGATGGTAATTAGGAATGGTAAGGGAAATTAGGGGGTGAAAGGGTAGTTTGGGAACATGCTAAATATCTATAGATAGGGTCCTAAGAATGTAATGGGAGTGCGTCTTTCTTCCTTTCTCTTCTTAATAGAGTCTCAGTTTACAGAGAGGAGTCTCTTGTGGAGAGTATGGCCCCTTGAATGCCAATATTGTTTATCCAGAATGTTTGATGCTGTCTTTTGATCTCCATTGTAATTTTTCTGTTGCTGTCAGGGTGTAAGGGGAGGTTGGGTTTTGCTGACATAAGTCGTTATTCCTTTAGGCCTGATACAATGTACTGCTTTCAATTAATAGAATACCCAGGTACTGATTCAGCTATTTCTGTTCTGAACCTGAAGTATTCCTTTGGGCCTGATAAGTGTTTCTGTGAATGTTTTGTGATTTAGTTACAAGCCCCTATCTGAACTCTTGCATCTTCAAGACTAATGTCTCATTTAAATTTTATGAGATGCAGTTTTATGGCTTCCATGTTACTGCACTTAGCTTTCTTAGTGGAATTGAAGTTATTTGGCAGCAGAAGATATAATGTTTATTCACTATACAAGTCGATATATAGTACAAAGAGAGAGAGAGGGAGAAATCGATCATATCCCTATGATTTCTCCTCAAAATATAAAATAATAAAGGCTGTGATAACAACAGATAAAATCAGATCAAATAAGAAAGGAAAATTAGGTTAAATATTGGAATGGGCCTAATGATGGTAAGCCCATTATCAACACTCCCCCTCAAGTTGGTGAATAGATGTTGATCATTCCCACCTTGCTTTTGAACCCCTCAAATTTTTCTTGAGCCAACAACTTGGTCATCACATCAGCAATGTGAAGGAATATAGGATAGATCAATCACTTTTGCTTCTATTTTCTCTTTAATAAAATGTCGATCAATCTCCACATGTTTGGTGCGGTCATAGTGTATAGGATTGTTAGCAATTTTTATTGTTGAGATATTGTCATACCAAACTTTGATTGGAACATCAACATCAATCTTGAGCTCTCTCAAAAGTCTGACAATCCACATTCCTTCACAAATTCCCAATGCCAATGCCCTGTATTCACATTCAGTTGAGCTTTTAGAGACTATTGGATGCTTCTTACTTCTCCATGTCACCATGTTTCCTCACCCATAGGAACAATAGCCAGTAGCTGATTGTGTTTCAGTTTTTGAGCCTCCCAAATCAGCATCTGTGAATAACTCAATACCCTTGAAATCTCCTTTTCTAAAGAGTAATCCTTGACTAGGAGTTTTCTTTAGGTAGCTAGAATTCTGTAGACTGTTGTCATATGCTCTTTTTGAGGATTACTCAAGAACTGGCTTCCAATGTTTACTGGGAAGCATATATCAGGTCTTGTGTGGGATAAATGAATTAATTTTCTCACCAGCCTTTGGTGTCTCTTTATTTACTGCTGTAGCATCCGGCCTAATAGTCAACTTTTGATTGAGTTCCATTGGAGTATGGGCAGGTCTAGCTCTAGGCATTTCTGTCTCCTTCAATAAGTTCAAAGTGTATTTCTATTGTGATACTAATAGACTCTGTTTTGCTGGAAAAACCTACAAGAGGAGATACAGAAAAATACAATGAAAGGGAAAGCATCTTTCTAAGGGGCAAAATGTTGACCTTGCTCTCCTTGCTCTCAAGGAGAAAGCTAGTCAAACTTAGTATTGACTCAAGGTGGTTTTAGGTCTACTTTAGTAGAATGTGGTGTGGGAAACTGTGCACTTTGCTTTTTGGGTTATGGTAGTCATTAGTTTCATTTTGAGGGCAAACATTATTTTTTGGCTTTGGCTAAAGGGAGAGATTGGCTCTCAAAAATCAGAGGGCATGCTTAGATAGCATTGCATGTGTTCTTGCCCATAGTTGCTGTTTGAGTATTTAGATTGTAATAGGGAATAGGATTTGTTCTGAATCAGTGAAGCGTCTTTTGTAACATTGATTCAGCCTTTTGGAATTATTATTATCAAACCTCATCATTTTCCTTGATTTGTTTGTCATTTATCATTATTATTTCTGCATCCTTATTTGTTTAACAGCAGGGTCTCATCATTTGGTATCAGAGCGAGTCGATTTAAGCACCTGTGTATGAAGAGAAAATGGAGGAGAGGGTGCAATGCGCTGACCCTAAGTTGCAAGAGTTGAAGGAGATAGTGGGGAGTCTAACTAGAGATGTGATGGCTCTTAGAGATATGATGAAGGATTTAGTTGGAACCTTAGGGCGATTAACAAAAAAAAAAAAAAAAGGAAGGGAAGTGAGTCAATCTTATATGGCAGTAGGAAAGGTCACCAAGAAGAATTTGTAGAGATGAGTGTAGGAATTGATAAAGAGCCCAGCAAATATAGAAAGTTAGAGTTAACGGTATTCAATGGGGAAGCCCCTTTGGGATGGTTCTTCAGGGTAGAGAGGTACTTCCATGTTAACTCCATGGAAGAGAAGGAGAAGTTGGAGGCTGCAGTGGTATGCCTCGAAGGTAGAGCCCTTAATTGGTACTAGTGGGTTGACACCAGAGCATCCTTGCGGAGCTGGTCCGAATTCAAGACTGAGGCCTTGCGAAGATTCCATCCTTCTCAGCTGGGAGATAAGTACGAGATGATGTTGTCTGCAAAACAAGAAAATTCTGTCCTTGAATATGTAGAAGAGTTTGAGCATCTTTCTGTGCCATTGAAGGATGCATTTGAAGCGTGTTTGGTCACAGCATTCAAGAGGGGATTGAGAACTGAGATTAGGGCAGAGTTGCAGCTCACAAATGCTTCCACGCTATGCGAGATGATGGAGATGGCAATCTGGATTTAAGAAAGGAATCTAGAAGTTGAACGGGCCAGAGAATTTTGAGTACCTAGGACCCAAAATTTTTCGAGTGGGCCCAAAACAAAATCAACCCATATTATGCATGTGCTACGCATGTGGCTGACCCTTGGAAAAACACGATAGTCCTTTCTACAATAATAGACATGACATGGAAGAGTGAAACGAAGAACTACGAGTCCAAAACAGCAAGCTCTTTGATTGGGTATGCTTCGACCATCGAAGGAAACACTGTGCGAAGACTATCAGAGGCTGAAATCACTTGACGAAGGGAGTTC